ACTGTATCATCTTTCTCAGCTACTGCCACACACTGCATCATCTTTCTCAACTACTACCACACACTGTATCATCTTTCTCAACTACTGCCACACACTGTATCATCTTTCACAACTACTGCCACACACTGTATCATCTTTCTCAACTACTACCACACACTGTATCATCTTTCTCAACTACTGCCACACACTGTATCATCTTTCTCAACTACTGCCACACACTGTATCATCTTTCTCAACTACTGCCACCACTGTATCATCTTTCTCAACTACTACCACACACTGTATCATCTTTTCAACTACTGCCACACACTGTATCATCTTTCTCAACTACTGCCACACACTGTATCATCTTTCTCAACTAATGCCACACACTGCATCATCTTTCTCAACTACTACCACACACTGTATCATCTTTCTCAACTACTGCCACACACTGTATCATCTTTCTCAACTACTGCCACACACTGTATCATCTTTCTCAACTACTGCCACACACTGTATCATCTTTCTCAACTACTGCCACACACTGTATCATCTTTCTCAACTACTGCCACACACTGTATCATTTTTCTCAACTACTGCCACACACTGTATCATTTTTCTCAACTACTGCCACACACTATCATTCTCAACTACTGCCACACACTGTATCATCTTTCTCAACTACTACCACACACTGTATCATCTTTCTCAACTACTGCCACACACTGTATCATCTTTCTCAACTACTGCCACACACTGTATCATTTTTCTCAACTACTGCCACACACTGTATCATTTTTCTCAACTACTGCCACACACTATCATTCTCAACTACTGCCACACTATCATTCTCAACTACTGCCACACACTATCATTCTCAACTACTGCCACACACTATCATTCTCAACTACTGCCACACACTATCATTCTCAACTACTGCCACACACTATCATTCTCAACTACTGCCACACACTGTATCATCTTTCTCAACTACTGCCACACACTGTATCATTTTTCTCAACTACTGCCACACACTATCATTCTCAACTACTGCCACACACTATCATTCTCAACTACTGCCACACACTATCATTCTCAACTACTGCCACACACTGTATCATCTTTCTCAACTACTGCCACACACTATCATTCTCAACTACTGCCACACACTGTATCATCTTTCTCAACTACTGCCACGCACTCATCTTCCTGCACCATTGCCACTCCCTGTATCTATTACAGTCGATCGTACAGAAAGGTACACTACCAAACTACTACTGTGATATATATACCTTTGATTAGTTTCGAGTTTTGTCTACTCCCGGATCCCAGTCCTGGGCTAGACTTGTCTAGTTTTTTCCTGGTCAACCGGAATGTTACTGCTAGCAACCCGCTGACCCACATATCCATCACAGCCTGATTGATCTGGCACTTGGCGGAAGTACTTGTCCAGTTTTTTTCTTGAAGACTTGTACACTTGTCCCAGCAGTGCTTTTAATGTCTTCTGGTAAGATGTTGAACAATCTGGGACTACGGATGACACAATGTTATTTTGTGCCCACGGCACTTCTGCCCTTCACTGTGTTTAATTTACACTTCCTCCCATATCTCTCATTCCAATATACTGTTATGGCAGTGTGCAGATTTGGGACGAGGTCCTCAAGCACTTTCCAATAGATTAACATGTATCTCTCCGCCCCAGAAAAGTACATATTGAAGACTTTAAGACGTTCCCAATAATTTAAACGCTTCAGTGGGTCTATGTGGGCTGTAAATGATCATCAGATCTGTATTTCCTCGCTCTGAATGAAGTTGTCAACAGTACTCTAAACAAGAACAAAAGTGGCTTGAAAAGTGACACCATTAGCACAATTTTCTTTCTGAACGGTCTCATTATACGTCCTGTCATTTATCTAGCTGTCGGGACATTTGCCTTATTGTGCTCTTTGAATGAAAGGTCAGCCAACATGATTACTCCCAAGGCCTTCCACGTATTCTCTCGTTCTATTTGACGATCCTCTTGGGCTTCGTATACAGTATCTCCTTCGAGTACATTCTTTTTACATTTAAGTAGCTGGAACTTATCACCATTGAACGCCATGTTGTTTTGCACTGTCCACTGGAAAACCTTTCTTGCATCCTCCTGCAGTTTCTCGTGTCTACTACTGAGGTGACATTCATGCTTACTCTACTTTAATCCGCAAATGATGCAAAACTGTGGCGAATGTTTTTATATATGCCCGCTCTGAGGATAAATATCAGAAGAGGCTCCAGGACAGTGCCTTGGGGCACAGTTTTTATCTCACTAATGGTGGATTTTGCTCTCTTACTACTATTCTTTGTGTTCTGTCTGTCGGAAAGTTGAAACTCCATCCATCTGCATACATTTCCCGTTATACTTATAGCTTTCATTTTGTGTGAAATCACCCCATAATCCAATTTGTCAAACGCCTTTGCATCACTAAAGTCTATAAAGGTGCACTGCCACTTTAAATGCAGCACCACACTGTAGATGTACCAACACTATAAATGTATTGCCACAATGTAAATATGCGCCCACCTCATATAGATGTCCCATAAGCCCAAGCAGTGCTGAAGACTAGACCCTTTGTTTACTAAAATCGAGAGATTAACTTCCCCCCAGAGCCGTCTCTCCAATTCCCGACCGCAAGTACAGACGTAACAAGTAAACATGATATGCTTTGCTTGCTCTCTCTCTCTCTCCGTCTCTCTCAGTTACATCGTTGAAGGTCGAGGGGAGAAGGACTTCAATGCCGTCCACAACTGATCCTCAGTCAGTCAGTCAGTACTACAGAGGCGGACACACCGTGAGGCTCCCAGGACCACTTAGTGGGACCGTCACTGGTCTCCTTCAGAAACACTTTGTTGCCTTCAGAGCCACTTGTCATCACAACCATTTTTTCTTGTGTTCGGAACCACCTACGTATTTTCAGAAGCATTTATTTTGCTATCTGTAGAACCATTTTATCTCCTGTAGAACCACTTATTTTTAGCTTCTTCAGAACCATTTTTTATCTCCTTCAGAACCATTTTTTTAAATCTTCTTCAAAAACACTTCCTTATCTCCTTCTGAACCACTTTCTCATCTTCAGAACCACTTTATCTCCAGAACTACTCTCCTATGCACAGGAATATGCATATTTACATCTTTAATTAAATATAGAAGTGCCCTGAAAATGCTACCTTTTTAGAAGCTTAAAATACATTCGAAAATGACTCACGAAATCGTAATGACACGATTGCAAACAAACCATACCCCGGCCGGGTTGAACCCGCGGTCAGAGAGTCTCAAAACTCCAGACCGTCGCGTTAGCCACTAGACCAGCTAGCCACAAAAAATTCGTCCAACTAGGTATATTTCTACACCATAGGAAGGTTAGCACAGGCACCTCTGTGACCACAAATGCAAGTGATTACAGACGAATCTCCTATGGTGTAGAAATATACCTAGTTGGACGAATCTTATTGTGGCTAGCTGGTCTAGTGGCTAACGCGACGGTCTGGAGTTTTGAGACTCTCTGACCGCGGGTTCAATCCCGGCCGGGGTATGGTTCATTCGAAAATCTCTCCCGCAAGAATTTTCGATTTATCTAATAAAATGTCAAAACTCGCCAGTTAAAAATTTCCTAACTATAAACAAAATCACACATGATAAACCAACAAGAGTGGCAGTTATGCATTATTAAAAATAAAAGACATAGTAATGAAATAAGTCATGGAAATAGTGTCCACGAACACTTAAATAATATGTCACATATTTCAGGAGCCGCTGTAACACAGAATGATACCGTAGTTTTCATTTTTACATTACATATGTGGTCAGGGAGGTTGGTGACACTAGAGCAATGGAAGGAAAGGATGTGTGAGGTGTGTACACGACTAGTTATGATTGCGAGGGTTGAGTCACAGCTCCTGGTTGCGGGGGTAGTAAGAGGTGTGTTATACTGTTTTTTATTGGAGGGGAGGCAAAGTTGGCTTCTTCAGCAATGTGCTGCTTCCATATTCTGTACTGATAGTTGCATAGTGAGAACAAAATTTAGCTATGTTACCCCTGTCAGATTCCACTACACAGGATGGATTTAATACACACTGTGAAATTATGTCAGCCGGGAACACTTCAGCAGGGCAATGAGGATATCTCAAGTATTCCATGAAAATTTCATTAACTTCAAAGATTTAGTTCCAGCAGAGCTGGAGTTTCCATTACTTGGGAATTACCATCTCTCAGGATGGCCAGAAGAAACTGAATTTTTATGACAATATCTTCACGTTGTAGGTGTGGGGGAGAGGTGAGGGTTGGCGGGTGGGGGAGGGGTGAGGGAGGGGTGGTTGGTTGGTTAACTGGGTTTAAAGCCTATCAACTACACGAGGGACATTAAGGCTACAAATAAGGTGTTCACCTCCAGTCAAAAATATTTTAATCCTTAAAATAGGGATTAAGTTAAACTCTTATATATACACGGTGAGAGATATGCATCTCTGCGTACATATCCTTGCCAAGGGTGGGTGTGTGATGCTACAGGTGTGTCGCGGGGGACGGGGAGGTTGAAGGGAAGGGGTAAGGGAAGGGGGAAAGGAAGGGGGGGAGGTGACAGGTAAGTTGGAGGAAGTCGTGACGTCAACACCGAGTTGCTGACCGGGAAATGTTAATGAATTAATATATTATGTTTTAGTCATTCTTCTTTCTACACTGGCTGCTATAACCAGGGACCTATTCTCCGTGATCGCATCCACGGACAATGTAATGCAGTTTTCGTGGACGTAACGAGCTAGTTGTGTTTTTATGAAGAACAACAAGATACCTTTGCTACATTCCAGCAGCACCTGAGTCCTGACGATCAGTGAAGCTCAGAGAGCCAGAGGGTAGGAACCACTTTCGTATATCTCCACACGTCGCTGGGACGAAATATAACAAGACAATGTGACAACTAGTGTGTGGGACATAGCGAGTAATACGTCAGTAACAGTGTGTGAGGCAGGTAGAAGTGGGTGGTGTCAAACCTGCCTGATAAAATGAAGTGATAGCGGGAGTTTACTCTTTATAACTACCTGTAGACGATGCTCAGGGGAATGAGAGAAACTACAGTGTTCTGGTTGTTAGTCAGTGTTGGGCTGTTTGGACTCGTGTATAGTGTTGGGGTTGCTTGTGTTGGCTTCAAAGAGCGCCTCTCCAATACTCCGGATTACGACGGCAGTTTACAAACTTCCGTCAGTGGTTCCATGAAGTGCAAGACATTACCAAGAAGACGAGTGTCAGGACTGCCTCAGTCACCACTTGTGAGTGACCAACACTAGGACTACCTCAGTCACCATTTGTGAGTGACCAACACTAGGACTACCTCAGTCACCACTTGTGAGTGACCAACACTAGGACTGTCTCAGTCACCACTTGTGAGTGACCAACACTAGGACTACCTCAGTCACCACTTGTGAGTGACCAACACTAGGACTACCTCAGTCACCACTTGTGAGTGACCAACACTAGGACTGTCTCAGTCACCACTTGTGAGTGACCAACACTAGGACTACCTCAGTCACCACTTGTGAGTGACCAACACTAGGACTACCTCAGTCACCACTTGTGAGTGACCAACACTAGGACTGCCTCAGTCACCACTTGTGAGTGACCAACACTAGGACTACCTCAGTCACCACTTGTGAGTGACCAACACTAGGACTACCTCAGTCACCACTTGTGAGTGACCAACACTAGGACTACCTCAGTCACCACTTGTGAGTGACCAACACTAGGACTACCTCAGTCACCACTTGTGAGTGACCAACACTAGGACTGCCTCAGTCACCACTTGTGACCAACACTAGGACTACCTCAGTCACCACTTGAGTGACCAATACTAGGACTGCCTCAGTCACCACTTGTGAGTGACCAACACTAGGACTACCTCAGTCACCACTTGTGAGTGACCAACACTAGGACTGTCTCAGTCACCACTTGTGACCAACACTAGGACTACCTCAGTCACCACTTGTGAGTGACCAACACTAGGACTACCTCAGTCACCACTTGTGAGTGACCAACACTAGGACTACCTCAGTCACCACTTGTGAGTGACCAACACTAGGACTACCTCAGTCACCACTTGTGAGTGACCAACACTAGGACTACCTCAGTCACCACTTGTGAGTGACCAACACTAGGACTGCCTCAGTCACCACTTGTGACCAACACTAGGACTACCTCAGTCACCACTTGTGAGTGACCAATACTAGGACTGCCTCAGTCACCACTTGTGAGTGACCAACACTAGGACTACCTCAGTCACCACTTGTGAGTGACCAACACTAGGACTGCCTCAGTCACCACTTGTGACCAACACTAGGACTACCTCAGTCACCACTTGTGAGTGACCAATACTAGGACTGCCTCAGTCACCACTTGTGAGTGACCAACACTAGGACTGTCTCAGTCACCACTTGTGAGTGACTAACACTTACAAGGATCACTACCAGAGCTGTGAGTGACTAAAGTTAACAAGGGCCACCAGTGAGTTGACACAACACTTGTAAGAACCACCACAGTGCCCATTATTTACAAAGTCCAGCAGTGAGTCACTCAGCTGCAAAGGACCACCAACTCTCCGTCCTCATAATACTGATTTAAAAAAAAACATAATTGAATTGTTATTAGTATATATAACAGTATATATAACCAAAGTATACAAAATGTGGTAGAATGTGACACTGAAGCACATGTGTGAAAATAGAGAATGGTGATTATATTCGTGTGGTAAACCCTTGGGGGTTATATTGCGTTTGGGGAATGAGAGGTAGCTAGCTTTAATCCGAGGAAATTGAGGGTAACCCTCTCCCCAATTCATTACATCAAGATCCTTTACCTAACCAGCACCAAGAAATCTTTTTTTTTATAGGGTCTTACGTGAAGACGTAACACCCTAAATTAGAGAAATATATAATTGTTGACCATAAAGGCGGCATCATTTCTGGTCAGATCAGATTGGTAAGGAAATATTACAGGACTTAAAACTATTAACAAACACACATGCAAGTTTACTGAATGTAAACCAAAGTTTGAAAGTTTTACCTGCCATCTTGCATAAAAGAAAATACCAGCACTCCCGCCAGTGTAAAACCTTTAATAGGCTTCCGTTTCACACACTACCATCCACCTATGGTGAGGCTAGAAGCAATGAACTTTCTCCTGGGAACTCCAGCCAAACTGCTTGGTCCCACAACACTGATGTCGACACATTAACATTTCACTAGTAAAACTTGTATTCGTTAAATACTGCATTTTTGTGAACAGATTTTTTGCTCCATGATGTACACGTGAGTCTGTCAGTGACTAATTAATTTAGTGTTAGCTGTAGGAGAGCGCGGGCTGTGGTCACTCCAGTGTTACGTACTATCATTTGCTATCGACGAGGAAAAGCAGAACCTCTTTGGGCTTGGCAGGTGCAATTCTCATTACATACTGGTATCCCATTGACCCGTAACTATATTCATCAGGTCACATTCTCATTAATGTGGAAGAACACTGCAATTCGAAATGGTTGACAAGCATCAGTCCTAATTAACAATATATGTATAACCCAACCATTAAAGCAAAAATTTATATTAGCAACATCTGCACAAGTAAGAGGCTCTGTGGGTAATGTAATCATTCGAAAAAGCATTCATAATATAAAATTAACTATAAAACTTGGATGGAAGCTAAAAACACACAAATATAGGGATACTGGTTTCACTGGGGTTGGGGTCAGACTTAAGAAATAAATCCTAGGTGCCCAAGTAGCTAAAGACTGACCCTGCAAGTCGGTAAATCACAGAACATATACGAGTAAAGAGGAGACCCTTCAGTTATGGTAGTATCGCATTTGATGCAAACACTTAGCTAAAAGTGAGACTAATATAATAAAAACTAGGTAGGACAGGAAGGTTCGTCAGGAAGCAGGTACAAGTCCTACCGGCTTAAGTCAATGTGACCCACCTTGGAGGTCTTGGTCAATGACTGGGGAACCGGAGGCCGTTCCGCTTGGTTAACCACCCACCCCTTTAAAACTCATGGGCATTTATAACCATATTTTTAAATAAAAACCTGGGCCATTAAAACGGAACTTGGAAGTTTCTCCCATCACATTATTAAAAGTTTTATGTTCGAAACTAAATTTTCCACTAAAAAAATTCTGCAGTAGTCTGTCAGGTGAAATCAGTACAATATTTAATTTTATTTATTCTGTCTTATTATTATATATTAAATTTTAGTTAGAGAGTAGTTTAGGGCTTAGTTATGTCATAGGAAGGTTTGTACATGGTATTTTGGTATTGTAATTTAGATATATATTCTTTAGTGCTAAAACATGTGCACATAACTTAATGAGGCCTACCGAGATTAATGAACATACTATTATATTTTGAAAGCCTCTTGTTATTTCAACATTTGGCATTTGGGCTGGTTTTCAGGATTACGCTAACCAGTCCTAAAACCCAATGTATATTTTACTTTAGGTTATATGGGCATTTATGTCTGTCAACAATTTAGAAATGTCCATAATTTTAAACTGCATGGACCGAACACTGCATAGTCCTCGTCCGATGACCAAAAGCCCCCAAAGTGACGGGTATGGTTGATCCAAACCCGCGTCAGGAACATCACTTGTCCGTTTTTCTGAGTGAACACTGAGCCTAAACCTGAACCTGTGAACAGGGACGTCCCCGATTCTCCTTATGCAAACCTCGTGATGTTTCCATGCCGTACCGGGCCATCAGGCTTACCTCAATGTGTCTGATGTGCGACACCAGTCGAAGCCCTATACACTTATGCTTCCAAGATTAACTCTCAAATACCTTAGTGAAAAAAGTTAATAAATTCGTAAGGCAGGAACGTCCCTTTGTAAAACCATGCTGAGATTCGTTGATTAATTTATGCTTTTCAAGGTGGCTACGAACTGCCTCGGCAATTATTGATTCCATAAATTTTCCCACTATGGAGGTTAGGCTTATTGGTCTATAGTTCGAAGCTAAGGACCTGTCACCTGTTTTGAAAATAGGTATCACATTTGCCATTTTCCACTTATCTGGCACCATGCCAGTTTGTAGTGATATGTTGAAAAGATTAGCCAAAGGTGTGCTAAGCTCCTCTTTACATTCCTTTAGAACCCTTGCATACAGTTCATCAGGGCCTGGGGATTTGTTAGGTTTTAATTTATCTATTTGCCTAAGGACCATGTCACTTGTGACCCTAATAGTGCACAGTTTATTATCGTCCTGTTCTACATAATTTATCATTACTGGAATATCACTGGTATCCTCCTGTGTAAAAACTGAGAGGAAGTATGTGTTAAAAATTCTACACATTTCCTTATCACTGTCAGTGAGCTGACCCGAGGAACTTTTGAGTGGGCCTATCTTGTCCCTGATCTTACTTCTGTATACCTGAAAGAATCCTTTTGGGTTAGTCTTCGATTACACTGCCAATTCAAGGTTGGATCAGCATTGACTGTCATAATTAACATTATATCCTCATAACAACAGGCCTACATCAAAAATATTTTTTTAGCAACACTTGCACAAGTAGACCACTGTGGGTAATGTATATCTTCGAAAGCATTACATATATATTTCACCTATAAAACTTGGATGGCAGGACATAAAAAACCCACAATACACGGACTGTTTCACTGGTTGGTCATGACTTAAGAACATATACATGCACTAGTGTGCCTTCTACACTGTATTAATACTGACCCTCAAGTCGGTAAATAAGAACATCACGGAAAGAGAGATTACCTTCAGTTTCTTGTTTGTATTTGAATTTGATGCAACACTTAGCGATGGAAAAGTTGAGACTAATATTAATAAAAACCTAGGTTAGGTTAGGTAAGGTTCGTCAGGAAACAGGACAAATGTTTCCTGACGCGGGTCTTAGTCAGATGATGACCCGCCTTTGGAGCTTTTGGTCATCTGACCGAGGCCTTCCGCTGGCTTACCGGTCCACCCCTTTAAAAATTATGGTCATTTATAACCATATATCTTAATAAAAACCTGACAACATTAAACACAAGAAACAATGAACAAAAGTGCTCGCAATACATTGTTAAAGTTTATGTTCGTATTATGTTACGACCAAAAAAATATCCAGTAGTCATCAGGTGAAACAGTACAATTATTATTATTATTATTATTATTATTATTATTATTATTATTAGTAGTAGTAGTAGTAGTAGTAGTAGTAGTAGTAGTAGTAGTAGTATTAGTGGTAGTAGTAGTAGTAATATTCTTTATTTCTACAAGTACATGTACAACTTATACAGGCCTAGCCGACATCAATGACATACTATTATATAGAAAGCCTCTTGTTATGCATAGCATTTCGGGCAAATTAGGTCAGTTTTGTCCCCAGGTTGGGACGCACACCAGTCGACTAAAACCCAGGTACCTATTTTACTTCTAGGTGAACAGGGACATAAGAATAATAACAATGGTTATAAATGACCATAATTTTTAAAGGGATGGACCGGTAAGTCAGCGGAAGGCCTCGGTCCGATGACCAAAAGCTCCAAAGGCGGGTCATCGTCTGACCAAGACCCGCGTCAGGAAACACTTGTCCTGTTTCCTGACGAACCTTACCTAACCTAACCTGAACAGGGACAGCAGGTGTCTTCAGGAAACACGTCGTGATGTTTCCACCCGTACCGGGGATCGTACTCAGTGTGTGAACTGAGTGCGACACCAGTCGAGCTAATACTTTATGCTTCCAAGATTGTAAATACAGGAGGAGGAAGTGGATTATATTTCTTTTTTTTTTTTTTTACGCGAAGCATCAACTCGTGCACCGGTTATATACACCTGGGGGTATACATCCATTAGCACTAGCAACGGTAAATACACTTGAGAATTGTGCAAGTTTATTTAGGTACAGGCACACTTTTAGGTGATTACAATCATTAAACATGGTAACATTATGTATAAATTACCTATGATGACCCGATGTTGAATTTTGACGAGAGGTTTGGTTGAATGACGGGGGGGGGGGGGGGGGGGAAGAAGGATAGGTAGGAATGGAATATGGGAAAGGGTGGGTGGGGAGAGGGGGGTAATAAAGATAAGTGGCCTAACCACTTTGATACAATTTAATAAAGGTGTATGTGTGTGGTATGAAAATAATAGGATGGGGTATACTACACTACCATCCAATAATAGGATGGGGTATACTACACTACCATCCAGTAATAGGATGGGGTATACTACACTACCATCCAATAATAGGATGGGGTATACTACACTACCAACCAATAATAGGATGGGGTATACTACACTACCACCCAATAACAGGATGGGGTATACTACACTACCAATAATAGGATGGGGTATACTACACTACCACCCAGTAATAGGATGGGGTATACTACACTACCACCCAGTAATAGGATGGGGTATACTACACTACCATCCAGTAATAGGATGGGGTATACTACACTACCATCCAGTAATAGGATGGGGTATACTACACTACCAACCAATAATAGGATGGGGTATACTACACACTACCATCCAGTAATAGGATGGGGTATACTACACTACCAACCAATAATAGGATGGGGTATACTACACTACCAACCAATAATAGGATGGGGTATACTACACTACCACCCAATAACAGGATGGGGTATACTACACTACCAATAATAGGATGGGGTATACTACACTACCACCCAGTAATAGGATGGGGTATACACTACCATCCAGTAATAGGATGGGGTATACTACACTACCATCCAATAATAGGATGGGGTATACTACACTACCATCCAGTAATAGGATGGGGTATACTACACTACCAACCAATAATAGGATGGGGTATACTACACTACCAACCAATAATAGGATGGGGTATACTACACTACCACCCAATAACAGGATGGGGTATACTACACTACCAATAATAGGATGGGGTATACTACACTACCATCCAATAATAGGATGGGGTATACTACACTACCATCCAATAATAGGATGGGGTATACTACACTACCATCCAATAATAGGATGGGGTATACTACACTACCATCCAATAATAGGATGGGGTATACTACACTACCATCCAATAATAGGATGGGGTATACTACACTACCATCCAGTAATAGGATGGGGTATACTACACTACCATCCAATAATAGGATGGGGTATACTACACTACCATCCAATAATAGGATGGGGTATACTACACTACCAACCAATAATAGGATAGGGGTATACAACACTTCGAACTCAGCGTCATATATACATGTATGGCGCTGAGTTGGTAGTAGGCATAGTTTTCGCTGTAAAAATATAGGATGATCCAAAACAAGTCAAATTTATATCCATATATGCATAGTTTTCTTTAATCGCCATTTTTAGGGATTGAAGTATTAGTGAATAGTAGTGTAAAACTAAAATAGTTTTAGTGACTTGCAGTCGATTTAACCTAACAGCCAACTAACCAGTGTGAGGTGTTTTATATCCAGAAGTGGTGAAAGCTGTATCCTCCGTCCGCTCATCACGAGACAGACATGTTACCTGTTTGTATTTGTTGTATAAAACTACTGTGTAGAAATCAGTGATTTTTATCTATTCGCGGCCGCCAGAGTTACAATATCACAAGTACAGCAAGATTTTTGAAAATACGCAGTTGGATTTGCTCTCGAATGTTATCCGAGGAGATAGTGGGTAGCTCTAATTCCTTGAATTAAGATCCCTTCATTAACATCAAAGCGCCCCCATTTTTTTAAGGGACTCTTGAAGTGTCAAGTCTGTCATTTATATAACAGTGAGACTGATCTGTGCATCAGACCATGCAATGCTCGCACTGATGCACACTTCTTACTCTACTGCAACAACAGTCGACTTAATCAGAGAGAAATTTTACGAGCTCTTGAATAAAAGGTTTCACGATCAATTTTGGTAGCTCGATTATTTATATACTGGAAATAGTAATGAATTATATGTGCGATATTGAAGCGAGCCGCCATGATGGCCGTCATGCGGAAGCATCACTAGTGTCTCCATAAAATGTTCTATTGAGGGTTACTGACATATACCGTAATCAAGGGGAAGATAGCTCTAGCTTCTGAGATCAAGAGCCCTTAACGGCATAAAAACAGCCACCTGTAAAGGAGACAGTATGGTAAACTAGCACTATCCTTGGTGTTGGTAGCTTCAGATAGAGTGAAGGCCGGGCTTGTGCAGGAGTGGCCAGGAAGACCTTGATAATTTAGTGCTCTCATGTATACATTACTACCACCACTGCCTCAGTCCTTACAACATTATACGCATTACAAATTTAGACATATTTATACAAAAAGTATTAGTGTGCGCGTGCGCACACGCTCGCCTATTTGTGTGCGCGTGCGTGCAGCGGATTCGAATTTCAATCACTCCATTGAATTAGTGTGATGAATGGTTTTGAAAACCGACAAGTTGAAGAATTGAGACACTTATGCAACATATGGGAATCTTTATTGAAGAAACGTTTCGCCACACAGTGGCTTCATCAGTCCAATACAAAGTAGAAGTGGGTAAGGAGAGTAGAAGTTTGAGGTAATCAGTCCCTCAACCTGGAATCGATGTGTTCAGTCCATCACTCTTGTAGGAAGCGCAGCATAGGGCCAGAGAGGTGGCTTATATACTGCGGTGAGATGAGTTGAAGCAGGAAGAGGCGGGATCACAGTGGGACCTGCCACTAGTGCAAGTAGGTCGTCGTCCAAAAGTTGGGCAAGCGTTGAAGTCTTTGTACCAAGATCCCATGATGTTGCAGTGTCTGACAGATGTGATGAATGGTTTTGAAAACCGACAAGTTGAAGAATTGAGACACTTATGCAACATATGGGAATCTTTATTGAAGAAACGTTTCGCCACACAGTGGCTTCATTAGTCCAATACAAAGTAGAAGTGGGTAAGGAGAGTAGAAGTTTGAGGTAATCAGTCCCTCAACCTGGAATCGATGTGTTCAGTCCATCACTCTTGGTACAAAGACTTCAACGCTTGCCCAACTTTTGGACGACGACCTACTTACACTAGTGGCAGGTCCCACTGTGATCCCGCCTCTTCCTGCTTCAACTCATCTCACCGCAGTATATAAGCCACCTCTCTGGCCCTATGCTGCACTTCCTACAAGAGTGATGGACTGAACACATCGATTCCAGGTTGAGGGACTGATTACCTCAAACTTCTACTCTCCTTACCCACTTCTACTTTGTATTGGACTGATGAAGCCACTGTGTGGCGAAACGTTTCTTCAATAAAGATTCCCATATGTTGCATAAGTGTCTCAATTCTTCCCATTGAATTAGATTCGTTCGTAACAAATTTGAAGAACATAAGCAAAGCGTCTCCCACTCCCCGCACACTAACATATGTTGATATACACAATTTATAAATATGAAGCGTATGCCTCGCTTAATACTATTCTTTCCCAATCTTTCTCCCCCTTGCACCCCCCTTCTGTAATTATATAATTAATTTGTTTATATTAAAGAAATGATGGCTATAATTTGTAATTTCTCTCATTTCAGAACAATAATTAAGGTTAACACAAGTCATGGCATATAAAAGTGACATTAATCAAATATAAATTTCGTAAGAAGTTTTTCACGAAAATGCGATACGTTGACCGGAACAATTGCCATTTTGCGGAAAGTTAACTTGCAACTAAAACATGGGAAGACAAAATCTGATGTACTAGACATTGGGCGGAGACGTTCCTCTAGCATTCATGATCTTTGCAACTGGGTGTTCTGGTGTGAAAGTGATGTTACGGGTGCTGCAAGCTGCCCTCCTGCTGGGGGCGTCTGTGGTGATACAAGCAGATGACTCAGACAATCCCAGGTGTTATGTCATCTGTAGCCAGATCTGCTCTTCAGAAAATCCGTCCTACAACCCTCAGAGATGTGATGACTGCTGCGGCACAGGTAAGCCACTTATGTTTACGTTATTATGTAGTCTACCAATTGGATAAGTGGTTGGATTGGTTATTTGGGTTTAAAAGCTATCGACTTCACTTGAGTTATTAAGGCTGCATATCACAAGTTCATCACCAGTCAAGAATACTCGATTCACTAAAATAAGATTCAGCTAAACTCATTGTATATACACTGAGAGGCATACATCTCCGTGTAAATACGTAATAGACATGTTGCACAATACATTACTAATATTAAAACAAACGGATGCATTGGTGCATTGCCAACAAATATGAAGACAAAGACAAGTTTTAGAACAATAACCACCTGTTCTGCAACTTTTGTCTTCATTACAATCAAGTATTTATAAAGTAAAACAATCGCTGCATATTTTGAAAACACTGGTAACGGAGTGCATATGAGTTTATATAAAAGATTCTAAATACAAAGTAATAGGTTCCAACCCTCATGACAGTAATTACAGCTTCCAAGACAGGAGTTCATTTAATCCCCATTTTAAGAATCAAAGTACTTTTGTGTATAGGTGAAATGCAGCTAATAACCCTCTCGTATAGTCATTATACGTAATAAACCAGCCATCTAACCAATTTTTAAGTTAAGTTGCTGCAAGGTCAGTGATAGAGAAATTGCTTGTATTTATGTAAAAATTAAACCCGTATGGATCATACAGCACAAGAAGTGAAGGTTCGATCTTCCGTCCCACTCTTAGATGGGCCCACTTGCTAGCACATCAGGTGGTACATCCAATGATGGCTGGCGACAGAAATATTATTCGAAGTCTTATGCGGATCCAGGAGTACTCTTGTCGGTTTGCGTTCTCTTACTACTAGTTGAGTGCTGCTAGTGCTTTTAGCGGTCCCAGCCTTTCTCTGTTAATTCTGGGCGAGCCATCTTGGAGCTGTTGTGCCCCAGGTAGGGTAAACTGGTGTGGAGTTTAGGGGATAAGTGACAGGGCAGTGATGTGTTTTTATTAGTCAGTCAAGAGTCTCCCATCTCTTTCCTTCTGCTCTCAGTTTCAATTTCCCCTACCATTTATATCTGCCGAGGCGCCAACAACCTCTCCTGGTTCCTCTGTAGAAGCGACTCCTGACGACGCCGGGCCGGATATGGTTTTAATGACAGCGACAGTCAGACTCAGCCGGGCACTCGGCTGCTGTTGCTGGCTCTGGAAGTCGACTTAGTAGTCATTCCAATAGTAGGCTGTATTTTTGTAGTAAGAATACTGATGTTATTTCTATCTTGTTTAGTGTTGGGCACGTTTTCTTCTCGGCATGATAACATTTTAGGTTGTGGATTTATTACCTTCGCTGGCAAAGTTATTTATGATTGTGTTACAGAATTTAGGGGCTCGGTGGTGGGTGGTCGGGGACTCCGTGCCAAGGACACTTGCGTACCGTTCACAGGCCACTGAGCATGAATTCAAGGAAGGCAACGTCCCCATGTATGGTACAATCCGGCTCCGGGCGGTCTACAAGTTGAGTCTGAAGCGGTTGTTACAGGCTCATTGTTAAGATGATGAGCAAGAAACGTGCAACACTTAGATATTGTTGTTATCGAAACGTTTCGCCAGCATGATTTTAAAACTGATGACAGTATAAGAGTTAATTCTGGGTCAGCTATCCCCGAATGAAAATTTTCACTTGTCGCATTAGTGTGTAGTATGACCATTAGTAACCCTTAAAGGGGGATGTTACTAATGGCCATACTACTGTAGCATCCCCTTTTTTATGGGTATGTGTGGAGAGATTTTGCATCCTAACATCCGCCAGATTTCAGTGGACAGTCTATTGATAAGACTTCTGGACCTAAGCAGGCTCGTGTCCTTCTTTTGCATCGTGATGACCAGGTGGAGCATATGCTTGCCGCAGGTTATTTGAACCAGTGTCGTGACATAGTTTCCTATTGATTGCTTGAGCAGGAGAGTGAGGACATGCGGCTTCTGAATCCCGGAATGATTGCGGTTCAGAGGACTAAGATGGTGAGTGGTGGTTTGGTGAGCACTAATTCTCTGGTCCTTACGTACGACCAACTGAACCTCCCCCATCTATGTAAATCTAGGGTGGAGAGTCCTGGGAGTAAACCCGTTTATTTCTTTCTCAGTCCAGTGCCTCAAGTGCCAGAAGTTTGGTCACTAAAGGATCACGTGTAAGGCAGTCTAAGACAGTTGTTTCATGTGGCAACTGCCCACTCCTGTACTAGAGTTTTGTAGTCATAAGTGTGGAGCTAGCACAGGGTTAATAACAGAACGTGTGTGGTATATAAGATGGGGAGTGCGCTGCTGCGCTGTGTGTGTAGACTTTATAATTGTTGTAACCTCTTTTATACAGTTTCTCTATAAAGTGTGATTTGTTTTCGTAAATGCGATTGAAAACAGTACATTCAAAATTTAATAATTTAAGGGTTATTCGATTACAGACGAACTTGTTCAATCGCATTTACAAAAAAAAAAATCACTATATAAAGGAGCTTTATAGAAAAACTTATTGTATTATAATCATGGGGGAAACGCTAAACCCTTAGGGGTCATACACTGCCTGGGAATGGGAGGCAATCAGTTTGATTCAGGAGGGGAAGTAGCTTTAATTCCTTGGATTACGCACTCTTCACCGGCATTAAGGCAACCCCCTCCCCTCAACTGTACATATTATCTCATGGTAAACTGTTAGACTTTAACTGCCATTAATGTGTCTTCACGTTGGTAATACTATGTTAATGACCACACCCAAGGTCCTCCCCCCGCTCCCCAAGACTGTTAGTTCTTCTTGACAAGGAGGGGGAGGGAGTTTGACGCTGGTGAGGGGTCCTTGTCGAGGGGGGAAGCCGCTGTATGAGCACTACAGGTTTAACGTTTGCCCGTGAATTTAATAATAGTTATAGTTTTAATAAATACATTTACAATTTAAAATCGGTTTTTAATTGTGTGAACAACTCCGTGCCATTATTACATTCTCGGAGAAACGGTAAATCCGTATGGGGGTCATACATCGCCTGGGGAGTGGGAGGCAATCGTGTTTGAGCCCAGGAAGGGTGGGGTGGGATAGTTCCATTTCCTTGGATCAAGAGCCCTTCACCAACATCAAGACAGCTCCATTAAAGGAGATGATGTGATGTCATCCAGAGCCACAGAATATGGAGTGAGTTGTGTAGTCTTAGTGGTCAGTCTACCCATCTACTGTCTTAGTCCTGTAAGGACAAGGAAGGTGATTTGATGCTGGCAGGGGCTCTTCATCCAAGGAACTAAAGCTGCCCTCCCCTTCTGATCGGACCTGATAACCTCCCATTCCCTAGGAGTTGTGTGACTTACGGGTTTAAACCTTCCAGTATTATTATTAAAATCATAGTCCTTGATAAACCACAACAGGACATCTTGTGTTTCTAATTCAGTACACCTTTGGTATGCTGCTACAATATTTTCATATGGTTAATGTAGATGATGGACATAAAAGCAGTAATTGAAAATTTATTCATACAGGCTTTCGCCTGTACAAAAGACTTTTAAAGTCATTAAAATGTACTTAGGGCAAAGAGATACATAGTCAGGAACGAGGAGAGGTCAGGAGCTGTGCGCACATCTTTTACTCGCCTTGACAAGACACCACCGGAAGTAGATGCATATTCCTCCCTAGCAACTCTATTGTTAAACACATCTCCGGCAATTTCTCCAACCCTAAAATACAAGCAGCTAATAGTACCTGAGGTACGATCGAGATCACCACCACTACGGGACAAAAATGCAAATCACGGCAGGGGTTTACACAACCCTTTGCAACTACTGTGACCATCACAGAAGAGACAAAGAGACCTTTACACTCGCATTTCTGAACACCAGTTGGTATTCAGATATACGAGTGTAGAGGTCTCTTGGTCTTCTGTGATAACACGCCAACAGAATGGGCCACTTGCATAACATTGTGTTTCACACAGTAACTCTCACAATCGCTTTATCAGATACAAGGAAGCACGGCTCGTTGTCAATGGACGCTCAGAGACGAAGGATCCTGGAATCATCACTCGTCAGCATATCAAACATTTCCAACCAGAACAACGGCTTTTGCAACATACCTGAGCTTCTTGCCAGGAAGCTCCATCGGTTTCCCCACATAGCAACAAAATGGATCACTGCTATAGGCCTACCGACCTGTGCTGAGAAGGTCCTTCATAAATTCCACCCTGCTCAATCATATACTTGCCCTCCGCGCTCAGGCTACTCAAGATTTAACACACCTAGCCTGACTCCGCACCCGATATATATATATGTTCATCCAGGTTTTTCTGTGACTTGAAAAAAAGCCCAGTGTAGGCGAAACGTCATTAAAGGATCATATACTGCATTTATGTCTCTGTTTCCAGCGAGGAGACGTCAGGAGCGAGAAGAATCCAGGAGCGAGGAGAGGGAATGTGAAAGGAGTGGCCCTGTGCGAGAAGAGGTCAGGAGCGAGAAGTCAGGAGCCAGGAAAGGTTAGATGCGTTGATAGTTCAACTTGACTGTTGGTCTAGTCAACAGGCCTTCTTCAACAACTGTATTGCCAAGATTCTGGCACTCTGTACTGGTTTACAGAGTATACTTTTGAAGGCCACTTACTCTGTTATAAATAAAACATTGCTGTATAGCCCTTGTGGCTTAGCGCTTCTTTTTGATTATAATAATAATAAATAAAACATTGTACAAAAGGGATTTAGTCCCTTAAGCTTGATCTGCAATGAACAGTAAAATATACAAGATATGCACACATTTGTACAGAAAATTAATACATAGTTGATGTAGTAATGACTGATACAGTCATTATTATGTGTAGTTTTGGTTAGTTTACGTTACAGTGTAGCCAGTTAAGTTTATGCACCAGTCAGAGTATATACCCAGTGTGTTGTGGTTCCATGGTGTAATACTTTCCGATGAAGTCATGTTTACTGATGCATCGCCATGCTTGTTGGCCAGCTGCCACCAGTGACGTCACGCACCTTGCTTGGCGGGTTCCCGCTACCCGCCAAAACTTAAAAACTGCTTCCTGCTACCCGGCAAAACTTAAAAACTGCTTCCTGCCAAAATTTAGATACTGTTTCCCGCCAAAATTTAATCGCATTAACTAACCACAGCAGTAAAAGCTCATCTTTACCTAAGAATCGGCTACCAGTTTCGTTATTTTTCCGACAAATAACAAATTATGATGGGACGTTTGATTTGGAATTTGCTTGCGCTGGCTTTTAACCTCCGGGAAGGTTAATAAGCCAGGAAAGTCAAGCAGTACAGTTTATTTCCTTTGTGGTCCTTAGATTCAATCCGCAGTAGTTGACTAAACACCGAAATGTCTCGCCTCCCTTGAAGATTGAACAGTGTTCCTTTCCGTTGTGAGCCATTTGCTCTATCAAGATGGTGGCTCATCTTTACAAAATGACAGTTCTGCCTTTCAAGATGGCAGCTCTGCCTTACAAGATAGCAGCTCTCCCATACAAGACGGCAGTTCTGCTTTACAAGATGGCAGCTCTGCTTTACAAGATGGCAGCTTTGCCTTACAAGATGGCACTTTTGCCCTACAAGATGGCAACTCGGCCTTACAAGATGGCAGTTCTGCCCTACAAGATGGTACTTCTGCCTTACAAGATGGTAGTTCTGCCCTACAAGATGGCAGTTATGCCCTACAAGATGGCAGTTCTGCCCTACAAGATGGCAGTTCTGCCCTACAAGATGGCAGTTCTGCCCTACAAGATGGCAGCTCAGCCTTAAAAGATGGCAGTTCTGCTTTACAAGATGGCAGTTTTGCTTTACAAGATGGGAGCTCAGTTTTACAAGATGGCAGCTCTGCCTTACAAGATGGCAACTCTGCCTTACAAGATGGTGCCTTACAAGATGGCTGCTCTGCCTTACAAGATGGCAGCTCTTGAAGGGTCGTACAACCCCTGGGAAATGTGAGGCAATTATGGTTGATCCGAGGAATGGGAGGGTAGCTCCACTTCTTTGCATCAAGAGCTCTTCGCTAGCATCAACGTATCCCTTCCCCTTGAAGGATATATGTTAGACTAGCAAATTTTAATTCAAATTCAAATTCAAAGTTTATTCTCTATAAGGATTACAATGCTGAGTTTACAGAAATTTGGTTATTGTGTGGTTTACATGTAGTAAAATTGTGATTACAGAGTGTACCACTAGAACGCTTAGCATGGCTAGGCATTTCGGGCAGACTTAGTTTTATTCTTAATTGTAAAATATTACAAATTATGAGGTAAGTTGGTATTATGGCTAAGTGACTAAATACTAGTTTGTGAGTTTAGCAATGTGAATGCTTTTGTTTTGGCACAGTACATAGTTTCAGTATTGGAGTATCACAGGATTCATTATTTTAAGATTGAGATTAATATTTCTGTTTATGGTCAAATGAGTGAGTGAGTGTAAGTGTGAACCACCAGGTGGTATTCGTGTAGTTAGCTGACGGGGTGTATCAGGGAGATAAGATGTTTTCTAATGGTAGTTTTGAAGGTGATGAATGTGTCTGCAGATCTAGAGTTCTCAGGTAGGGTATTCCAGATTTTAGGGCCTTTGACATACATTGAATTTTTGTAAAGGTTTAGTCGGACACGGGGAATGTCGTAGAGATGTTTGTGTCTGGTGTTATGCCTGTGGGTTCTGTCACAACTATCAAGAAAGCGTTTTAGGTCAAGGTTGATATTAGAGTTTAAGGACTTGTAGATGTAGATTGCACAGTAGTAAGTGTGGATGTACTGAACTGGGAGTAAGTTTAGGTCTATGAAGAGTGGGGGGGTGTGTTGCCAGGGATGGGATTTTGTGATTATTCTTACTGCAGCTTTTTGTTGGGTTATTATTGGCTTTAGGTGTGTTGCTGCAGTTGATCCCCAAGCACAAATAGCATAGGTGAGGTATGGATAAATAAGTGAGTGGTATAGCGTGAGAAGGGCATTTTGCGGCACGTAGTATCGTATCTTGGAGAGGATCCCAACCGTTTTGGATACCTTTTTGGTTATATGCTGGATATGGGTGCTGAAATTCAGGTTGTTGTCAAGGTATAAGCCTAGGAATTTGCCCCCATCATTTCTGGTAATTAGAGTGTTGTCAATCTTAATGTTAATTTGTGCATCTCCTGCTCTGCTACCAAACATAATATAGTAGGTTTTGTCAGTGTTAAGCGTAAGTTTATTGGCTGTCATCCAAGTCGATATTTTAATCAGCTCCTCATTCACAATGGTGTTGAAGGTGGCAAGATTAGGGTGAGAGATGACATAAGTCGTGTCATCAGCAAAGAGAATGGGTTTCAGGTGTTGGGATACGTTTGGAAGGTCATTGATGTATATGAGGAAGAGCAGGGGACCAAGGACACTTCCCTGCCGAACTCCAGTATCAAGTGGCCGTGTTGCTGATGCTGTGTCTTTAATGGTGACGTACTGATACCTATTAGTAATGTAAGATTTGAAATAAGCAAGCGCATGGCCTCTTATACCGTAATGATCAAGTTTGTGGAGTAGGATGTCGTGGTCTACTGTGTCAAAAGCTTTTCTTAGGTCAATAAAAATTCCTAGTGGATATTCCTTATTTTCCAATGCTGTGTAAAGCAGATCTAGCATTTTTATGATTGTATCATTAGTGCTTTTATTTTTCCTGAATCCAAATTGGCAGGGGTTGAGTATGTTTTGAGCCGTTATAAATGAATACAGTCTCCTGTGCACGAGTTTCTCAAAGATTTTGGATAGCAATGGTAAGTTAGATATTGGCCTATAGTTGTTTAAGTCTGTAGGGTCACCACCTTTATGTATTGGTGTAACCCTTGCCATCTTGAGTAGTTTCGGGAAGGTGCTAGTCTCTAGTGACTTGTTAAAAAGTAATGAAATAGCATGCGAAAGGACATGGGCCGCTCACTTGTACAGTAATGGTGGGACATGAGACAGATTCCCCGAGTTATTTTTAAGTGACTTTATAATCTCAGTGACTTCCGTGGGCTCAGTTGGTGCAAGATAGAAGGAATTAGGGAAATTCCCATCTAGGTAGTCCCTGGCATGGGCATTGGTATGTGGGATTTTACTGGCGAGATTAGATCCTATGGTTGAGAAGAAGTCGTTTATCTTGTTAGCTGTGTCAGTGGGATGTAGTGGTGTTTCATTAGGTTTAGTTAGGACAATATTCTTGGTTTTTCTCAGTTTGTGGGTCCCTAGAATCTGAGAGAGTGTTTTCCAGGTCTTTTTTATATCTCCTCTAGTGTCTGTGAATCTGCTGGAGTAGTATAGTTGTTTGGCTTTCTTTATTACTTTGGTGAGAGCTGATGAGTAGTGTTTAAGAATATCTTTGTGTATTAAGCCCTGTCTATATTGCTTTTCATATTGGTGTTTCTTGTCAATGGATTTCAGAATGGTGCTGGTTAGCCATGGGCAACCAAGCCGTTTGTTTGTGATCTGTTTTGTTTTTATAGGACAATGTTTGTTGTATAGTCTAAGTAATTTGTTAAGAAAAATGTCTGTCCGGTCATCAATACCATTGGCCTTGGAGAATTCTGTAGGCCAATCAACAGTCTCTAGGTCAACTGTGAACTTCCTTACTGAGGCATACAATACAGACAATTTGATGAATAGAACACACTTGGAATACTCAGGTATCTTTATTACCAAAACTTTTCGCCTGCACAGCAGGCTTCTTCAGTTGTATAAAGGCGATTTGACATGTCATACAAGATCTTAAGTGGAAGTCTTGAAATAATTGTGGTTAAGACTTGTCATATACTCGTATATATAGGCTGTTCATAAATGTTGACAGAGGTAAAACTTTGACAAAACTATACTAAACGCTGGACACAAACGAAGGAAGACTGCAGAATACATGGGGTAATGGCCCCGGGATTGCCCTCTAGATCCGGGTGACAACAAGCTGCATCCTTTAGCCTGTTGGATGCTGTATAGCATTGTTCTACTCTCCCATTGCACCTGCTTCCTCAAAGGGGGAGTACCTAGATGCCGCTGGAGGACTCTTGTTCCAAGCAAGAGTCCTCCGGTGGATCATGTCGTCCTTGGATCGTGTCTCTTCCCTACCTTTGACGCAGACTCCCTCTGACTTCTTGTTAGCGACAGCTGTATTACACCATCTTTGATCTTGCTTTCTCTTCGGCACTTCTCACCGCCCTTTCAGTTTCTACCTCTGACATGCTCTGCACCTTCGCTAGTCTCTGATCTGGCATAGTACATCTTTAGCACATCATACCGTGCCCGTGCAGTTCTGTATGACCCTTGAGGGTTTAGCGCTTAGTTCTGATTATTATTATTATCGTCATCAGATCTCTTAGCATGGAGGTTCGCCAAACATCTATTAAGAGTTTTTAAGGCTGCTCGTGCCTCCATTATCCAATCCTCTATCAGTTTATCTCATAGCTGTGCTACGCGGACGAAATTCTCACTCTTGTTTTTATTCTCATGTGAAACGTCAAACCCATAGGGGTCATGTAGCGCCGGAGGAATGGGAGATTTTAGGGTTCGATCCAAGAAACCGAAAGATAAGTCCACTTCCATAGATCAAGAGCCTCTCACCAACATCAAAGCGCCTCCCCTGAGGAGTCTTCACTCATAGACAATTCTGGAGGACTGCAAGAACCTCAGCCTAGTCCAACCCTCAATCTAATTTACACTCGAGGAAGAGGCCAGATTCAAGAGGAAGGGCACTGTTAAGAGAGGAGACTAGACCCAAGAACGAGACTGCTAGGAGGAAGAGGGAGACCAGACACTGCTAGGAGAGAGCAGACCAGACACTGCTAGGAGAAGACCAGACATTGCTAGGAGAAGACCAGACACTGCTAGGAGAAAGGGAGAGAGTCAGACCGATTGACCAGTCACTGCTAGGAGAGCAGGGAGGTGTGACGACCCTGGGATGGAAGTGCTGGCAACAACAATAACAAAGACCTCGTCGGCCATGATGGCCGCTCTGCAAACTGTTGTCAATTACTTGATTTTTTTATCTCTATAAATGGTATCATTATATCATCATTAACATTTATAAAAGAAATACTACTACTCAATAATAATAATTATTATTAAAAAAAAACTGCAGCGCCCTTAAGTTCATTATCAGTGGGCAATCCACAATCCAACATACTGACGCCCGTTCATATATTATCCTGACCCAAAGTTTAACCAAGATGCAGATTAGACAACCAATTTCTTATAATTGTATCATTACCTAGTCATTCACGGGGAAGTCTAAACCCTTAGGGATGCCAGCGCTGGTTGAGTCCAGTGTCATAAACCCTGGGGAAACGAGAGGTTATCAGGTTTGATTTGAGAAAAAAAAATCTAATACTTATTATCTTCTAATTCACAGGATTTTTTTTTTTTGTAAGTCAAAGAATACTTATGCATTTTTCTTGTGTCTACAGATTACAACAATCTAGAAACAGGAAGCCGCGTCCATCAGAATGACAGTAAGTACAGCTCTTCTGTGGTAGGTCGGCTGTTTACACTCACCTTCATAGTTATAAATCTGCTTCCGTCAAAATATCCATATAACATCTCCCTACATGTTATATATGCACGACGAGCATATACACCACGTGTGTTATATACACCCCAAAGGTTAATTTATCTCCTATAAGGATGTAAAGTATATTTGACTCTCGTAGTGACCAGGTTAGGTGCATCTTTAATGACCGTCGCTGTATAGCCCTTGTGGCTTAGCGCTTCTTTTTTATTATAATAATAATAAAATTTTTAATGACCATTGTGTAGTCGACAGGTATTAAATCCCATTAAGCAACATGTTATATGCAGTCTTAATAACCTGCGTAATCCATAGACTATAAATCCACATTAACCATGAACATCAGGACCTCCAACCATAAAGAGATCTACACAGTGATTCGATGTAACTTTTATGCAAAATTTTCCATACATAAGATTTTTCTGAAGATACCCGTAAGTACTGCAAGATTTATTTTAGGATACATCACTATGGTAATCTTTGTCTTTAATGTGGCGTTAGTCCTAACTGGGGCAGATCAGCGGATGTTTGCCCGAAATGCCCTGGCATGTTAGTGGCTTTCTTTGTAATTAACACTTTTTAAATTATAAGCAAACATTGTAACCTTTGCAAAGAAATAAAATTTGTTTGAACACAGAACCGGATTAAGAGTTTGTTGGCCCCCGGACTACAAGTACTACGAGGCCCCCAGTGATATTTTCAAAAAGAAAAAAGTTATAAATATTAAATTTATTTTTACAAGGCTAACCACAATTAAAATTCAAACATTTGCTTTGCGGAATTTTTTGGAAACAAATTGTAAGCCGTTGAGAACATTTCTGAAGGCCCTCCAGCTGGCGGAGGCCCTTGGTCTGCAGACCCTAAAGCTGACTGAACGGGTCATTAAATGGTTAAGACTCGTGTTGGAAGACACTACGTTGTTTTCTGACGCATCAACCACAACTACCTTACACAAACTTCGTACGATAACAGTGTTTTTGTTTAATTATCAACCTAAAATTTTCCCATGGGAGTAAATTCTTGGGTAGCTTTGGGAAGGGGTTGTTTTGATAAGAACCTGCCTTGTATGGGCCAGTAGACCTGCAGTGTTCCTCCATTATGTCCCACTCCTCGATAAGTTTTCCTATTTTTGCTAAACAAAGAAAACACGGCAAGAACTTGCATTACTTAACCGGGTTCCTTATCACTTACCAGTTAATTGTTCCTTTATGTCAAGTCATCAGAGTTAAACGTCGGCGTAATTAGGGATAATTAACCTCGCCAAATTATTTAATTATTATATTGTAATTATATGAATAATCACGTGGAAGTGGACAAATTTGTAGATATTACGGTGTATAGCACGGTTATTATATTCCTGGTCAATCGCTAAACCCGTACATACATTGAGATAGACTTCTGTATATACACCGAGAAGTATATGTATGCACTGAAAGAATGACATCTCTGTATATACAATGAGAGGTATAAACTATGTATATACCCCGTCGTTAGATAAAGGATTTATGTAAGTACATTATTAATAAGAGAGTTGATGGTTCTCTGGGGCAGGTCTGGTCATCACCTTGCCCCGAGAGAGAGTTGATGGTTCTCTGGGGCAGGTCTGGTCATCACCTTGCCCTGAGTTGCTAAACAACTTGCAGTTCAACTTTCTCTTTCATTCACAACTCAGTGTCTCTTTAGTAACTTGAGGTAACCTGACAAGGGATTATCATGAAGGCCGGACAGACGGTGGTGATAATGTCAATGTAACTTTCCAAAGTGTTGTACAAGCCGTTCAAGTTGCGTACATTCTTAGAGAAATTAGTTCAAATATAAATACCCATAAATGGATGAAGAATAGACTCGAACATCTCTTAGGTGAAAAGAGAGAGGAATTTACAGGCGAATCAAAAGAGAGAATCACCTTATTGAACACTTAAATTTAAGAAATCAAGAAAGGAATAAGGAGAGCCAAAGGAAATTATAAAAATAAAGTCACAAGGGAATTAAAGACGAATCCTAAGAGTTTCAGGTATATAAGAATAAGATTAGGGGAAAGATATGCTCACTCCAGTGTAACTCAGGCCAGCTTGTTGTTAGTGACTAAGAAATATATACCATTTTCAACACTTATTTGCAAACTGCTTTTACGCGAGAGGATGCAAATGAAATCCCAGATATCAATAATTATATTGATCAGAACGAGAATAAATTATAGAAGATCACAGTCACTAGTGACATGATCTACAAACTAGATAGATTACCTGGAGTTTACCTGGAGAGAGTTCCGGGGGTCAACGCCCCCGCGGCCCGGTCTGTGACCAGGCCTCCTAGTGGATCAAAGCCTGATCAACCAGGCTGTTGCTGCTGGCTGCACGCAAACCAACGTACGAGCCACAGCCCGGCTGGTCAGGAACCGACTTTAGGTGCTTGTCCAGTGCCAGCTTGAAGACTGCCAGGGGTCTGTTGGTAATCCCCCTTATGTATGCTGGGAGGCAGTTGAACAGTCTCGGGCCCCTGACACTTATTGTATGGTCTCTTAACGTGCTAGTGACACCCCTGCTTTTCATTGGGGGGATGTTGCATCGTCTGCCAAGTCTTTTGCTTTCGTAGTGAGTGATTTTCGTGTGCAAGTTCGGTACTAGTCCCTCTAGGATTTTCCAGGTGCATATAATCATGTATCTCTCCCTCCTGCGTTCCAGGGAATACAGTTTTAGGAACCTCAAGCACTCCCAGTAATTGAGGTGTTTTATCTCCGTTATGCGCGCCGTGAAGGTTCTCTGTACATCTTCTAGGTCAGCAATTTCACCTGCCTTGAAAGGTGCTGTTAGTGTGCAGCAATATTCCAGCCTAGATAGAACAAGTGACCTGAAGAGTGTCATCCTGGGCTTGGCCTCCCTAGTCACTGGGTCCTGATGAACTGTTTTCAAGGGTTAGTGAAGGTTGTTAGTGAACCATAAGTTTGTCTCTTTAACAGATCGCTACAAATGAGTATCGTACCGGATAAGTGAAAAATGGGAAATGCGATACCCATGTATAAGGTGGGAGATAGGTCCTCAGCTTCAAATTATAGACTAGTTAGCCTAACATTAATTGTGAGAAATTTGATGGAATTAATAATTACTGATGCGGTCCGAAGTCACCTGAAAGATATTTGATTGATGAATTTTAACTCGGTTTTAAAAAGGATAATTCTTTCATTACGAATTTACTAATTTTTTTCACTTTGATATTCGTGGCGGTAAACCAAAATAAAATGCGATATTGTATATGTAGACTACAATAATGCCTATAGAGTTCCACACAGGAGACATGAAAGTAGCGGCACATGGTATATGAAAAATTATTTCCTGGGTCGAGTCATGGCTGACAGATTGGCAACACAGATAAAAATTGTATGACACCAACCGGTTGTTGGAAAAAAAAATGCAAACACTAGGACAGTTTATTGGAAAGGTGTTGGCACTGGGATCTTGGTCACCGAGATCCCAGGACCAAAACATATCCAGCAAAATTTCCTAGCGTTTGCAGTGCCTTTTTCCAACAGTGCGTACATGGGGAGAAATTAGAATGGGGACCTATTACCAGTGGTGTGCCATATTAGGACCCTTGTTATTTACAATCTACATAAACGGCATTTATGAGGGAATAAATAGCGACATAGGTAAGTTTGCTGATGACACTAAAATAAGCCATCAGGTAATTTCTGATGAGGGCACTGGAAGGCTACAGGATGACCTGGATAGGTTGATGTTGGGGTCAAAGTGGCAGATGCAGTTCAATATAGAAAAGTGTAAGGCTCCAAGAAAAGAAAATAACTGTGACAATAAGCCTAATAATGTAGATAGTCTGCTAAAAAGATTTAGGAATTCTGGTTAGCAGAAATTTAAACCCAAGACAACATTGCATACGTGTTCGTAATAAAGCTAACATAATTCTTGGCCTCATATCAAGAAGTATAAATAATAGAAGTGTTAAGGTTATCAACTTTATATAGCCTTGGTAAGGTATCATTTAGATTATGCTGCACATTTCTGGTCTCCATATTATAGGATTGTCATAAATGTACTGGAAAACAAACAAACAAGGATGACGAAGCTGATTCCATGTATTAGAAAATAAGGCACTGAATTTACACTCTCTGGAAAGACTTTGAATTTGGGAATTAGGAATAAACAAAGTGGATATAATTAACGTGTTGAAAATATCCAATATGGGACTTGTGGAAAATACTGTACATATTTTTCCCCCTCACTCAAGGAAGGCTCCTTGACGCTGGTAAGGGGCTCTTGATCTAGGGAATTGGATCTGTGCTCCAGTTCCCTAAATTTAGCCTGAATGCCTTCCATCCCCCCATAGGCGCTGTATAATCCTACGGGTTTAGTGCTTCCCCCTTGATTATAATAATAATAATGTACATATTTTCCAGAAATAGATGGCCATACTGTATTTAAAAGAATTATATTATGGAAAATGAGAAACTGGACCTGCGCCTGCGCAGACAGGACTCTCCATTTTGCTTGAATTGGACATTAACGGTAGTGTATAATGGGAAGAATTTTTCGTGCTCTAGAGGTTAAAATTGGGTTGACACCTCTCAAATAGGAGGCGAAATTGTTGGATGTGCATTCCTGCATAACTTGAGATATCAGGCGGCTGGACAAGACAGCTCCAGGAACCTCAGATAAGTCTGTTATGTTTAACTCTGGCCAGTGTTATTTTCATAGATAGTGAGGTTTTCTGAGTATGATACACATTAATCTCCAGTCAAATTGGTGAGTGTTATGATTAAGATATATTCTCCTTCTGTTGTATAAATATATATATATATATATATATAATATATATATATATATATATATATATATATATATATATATATTATTATATATATATATATATATATATATATATATATATATATATATACACATATATATATATATATATATATATAATCAT